CAGCATAAAATGTGCAAACAGTGCATGAGTCAAAATATTTTGATCCTAATCATTTTATTTTCAATAATTTCACTTGACTCATTTAATGAGATCACTGCTAGAACCATGTGGAGGCCTCTAGCAGCCCGCGTGACCTCCAGTGACACTGGTGTTGGTGCCCTTGACGTTGAACCCTCGTGAAGCTTTAGGTTTTATTTTTCAGGGTTTCTGCCGGTCAATGATTTTGGGACATTGTTGCTGATAGCATTGTTGTTTCTGACGTTGGCATCAGTTCATCTATGTTAATGTAATCATGATATTTCTAGCCAGAATTTAGGGACCTGAACTCTGGCTAATGATTCGTCATCATTATCGCTGACGGTGGGTTTTCCACAAGGGAGCAATGCTACCATTACCTCTAGTATTCGTGCCTCTAATGACTTGGAATTTCAATCTTTTATCTCGGCACTGTCGGCCTTAATGCCATTGTCAATGGTGTTAATGCTAAGGACCAAAATAGTATTTTTGGCAAACAAATTTTCTTGGGCCATAACTTCCAAACAATATGTCATATTGAAGTGATTTTTGAACTGATGGAAAACCTATGATTTCTACTTTGATTTGGGACTTGACTTGGACCCAAACAAAAGATATAAGGATGGTCTATAGGGCTTGGACTTTTGGATGCTGGTTTTCAAGGTTTGGGTGTCAGGGCTGCACCTAGGTTGGTTTTTGAAGTACTAGGTGGTCCTAAGTCTTATGATTCATCGTCATTGTGGCTGACAGTGGGTTTTCCAGTAATGAGCATTGCTACCACTACCTCCAGCATTGGTGCCCCTAATACCTTGGAATTTTGGTCTTTTATTTCGGCACTGTCAACCTTAACGCCAACGTCAATGGTGTTAATGCTGAGGACCAAAATGGTATTTCTGGTAAGAAAATTCTCTCGGGGATAACTTCCAAACCGTACGTCATATTCAGGAGATTTTTGAACTGTTACAAATCCTATGATTTCTACTTTGATTTGGGACTTGATTTGGGCCCAAACAATGGTTTTAAGGATGGTCTATAGGCCTGGACTTTTGGGTATCGGTTTTCAAGGTACTATGTGGTCCTGAGGACTATTAGGGGGATTGTGGTGTCAAGGTTTTTATGGTTCCAACGTTTTTGGTTTCTTAGAATTACCTCAGTTGAGAACAGTGCATCTACACTCATGTATGAAGTTGAGAACAGTGCATCTACACTCATGTATGATGTTAAAAGTTGGATTTATCCCATTTCAAACTTGAAAACGTCTAACCCTGTATGACATAAAATGTCGGTGTATCACGTATAACCTCATATGACGCAAAATATCTGGTGTATCATTCATTTGTCCTTAGCAACATGCCATTGTCTATCATTTTATGACAATGAACTTCTTAGAGGACTCGATTTTCTTGTGAACTTAGTTGCATACTAATCATTTTCAAAAATCTCATCTCTTTTCAAAATTGTCTTCTTTCGTTTTTTAATTGATAATTTCTTAATTTCATATTTCTTAATTAATTTCCTGGTTATTAATTTGTATTTCTTTTTTTTCAGCCTAAATCTATCGTTCTTGATTGCAATATTTCTTAATTTTTAATTTTTTACTTTACAAATTTTCCAAACTCCAAATGCAGAAGCAGGTCTGATTTGGATGATTTCAAAATTATGTATTTGTGGTTTTCAAGAACATTAATGATTTTGGTTTAAATCGTAACCCGACACTTGTTTCTATTTCTAAAATTCTTACGTATTTTTCAAAACATTCTAAACTATTTTCGAAAATGGAGTAGGAATGAAGCCTTGAGATGATGATCTATGTCCCACACTCTATAACCTTGATTCTAAGAGGAAAGCTTCCAAGAACTTTGGCAAACCCTTAACCCCAAAGCCATTTAGATCCAAAATCCTTAGCATTTTCTTAGGAATCCTACTCCATGTTAGGAGCCAAGGCAGGAAAGAATTTAGAAATAAAGTCAAATCAATTCCATCATTTTCATTGAACTTCAAAGCTCAAAATTAATGGCATATTGAAACCCATGCAGCAATAGTCACATATTTTATGTAAAAACATCCCAGAGAACATTCAGCCCGTCTAGATGTATAACATTCTTTGGTAAGCAACCGAGATCGGATGACAGTCAATGTGCCGACAGACCTAATGGGCCAACCATCTTTCAAGTTTTCCATCAATCTCAAGCAGCGTTAGCAAAAATATGATTTTTTAAAAAACTATCCAATTTTTTGAAATTCTTTAAAAACTCCGGTTTTTTCAAAAGATCTTCAAAAAATCATATTTTTTCAATAGAACTGGTATAAATGCATGTTTTATCTTTTTTTCAAGAAAATTTCTTCCCTCTAACTTTGTAACTTTATTGATTTAATATCTCTTTGAATTTTGGTTTAGAGAAGTACATTAAAAGTGGAAATAAATTAAGAATCTTGATTTAAAAAAAAATTCCACCAGATATTTTTCACCAACATATTCCCTTACAAAAAGCGCAAAATAACCATATATCTCAAAAGAATAGTTAGATTTTGAAGAAGAGTAACCCAATGAAAATTTTATTTTTCTCTAAGTACAGTATCATCATAAAAAGCAAGAAAGATTCAGTGACAACCAAAGATTTAGGCAATTGGGAATTTAAGGTGAGCTTAGAATATTTTGATTTGCTTGCATAAGATTTTTGATTAATTAGACATTTTCAAAAACAAAATTTATTTCATTAGTGTATACAACATAGCAATTTAGATGGACTGCTATTTTAAGTTTTTGGATTTTTGTGTTACTTAACCATAATCCTTTTTTAGTGTAATTTTTTTTTTCTTCAACTAATAATTCTATACCTTGGGCTACCATTCTTGTTATTTGTTAATGTAATCATTATGTTTAGGATTGTTCTCTTTTTATCATATGCTCCCAATAATTTTATCTTTCATGTTACGATAATAGAGTAAGTATTGTTGCTGTATTTAATGAAAGTTCAGACAAAATTTCTCAAGGATGACCGCTGGTGATACTTGGGAAGGACATAAAAATTATAGCTCAAAGGTTTTAACAGATCCATACAATAATCGTAACTCATGAGCTTATATTGTATTACTTTTATATATTTATTTTTTTTTATTTTGTTTTCTGAGCCGAATCCGACATATTCACGATTCTCTTACTTGCTTAATTTTTGGCAATCCACGTTTTTTACCAGATTTTTTGCCTCCGACTAGTTGAACAAAATCAATTTATTAATGATATTGCGGTTTGCTGATATATTGTTATTCCTCAACTTGCTAATTATGGTCTCAAGTGTATACTTCTTTGCCATTCTTAGAAAAACGGGAGGAGAGAGACCCAACTAGCAAGGTTAATCATTTAAAATAAATGATTTAGTAAAAGCCATCAATTTACAGTTCTCTTCAACTTATAAAAAAGAAAAAAGTTTATATAAATGTGAGGCTTTAAACAATCAAGGGCGCACCTCAAAAATTTATTAGAAAAGGTTGTTTTGATGCCCAAACATCCTCAAATTGATCATCTCGACCTCAGAATGCATGGACATAAGAAAAAAATGGATTTTAAGTTTTAGAAATGGTGCATCTTGTAATACATTTTTGGACCGTTAATTATCAAGATTTTCAAGTTTTCATAGATCGGCTCGATCCATACCAGTAACATTTCTCAACACTATTTGTTGGTATGCTTTACTATGATTGTTTACACTATTTGAAGGTGTGCTTTACTATGATTGTTTAGAGCTCAGCCTTGTATAAACCGCACCCTGTAAATAATAGACATGTATTGCCGTATTCTTTACAGGGAAATACTCTTCGTTTTAGCGAGAGTTAGATGATTTTGGCTTAATAAACTTGGAAATGCACAAAAAGGAAATAGGGAAATTGAAGAGGGAGGAAATATTATTTTTTTTATCGATTCCAAGGTGTGTTTCTCGAGGTTTAAAAACCAGTGATCCTGTTCGGGAATTGCCTATTTGGATGATTTCATTTTAATGGGATATGCTCTTTCTTTGATCGGCGTTTTGTTGTTTGTTGATGGCATTTAGTTGCTCAAGATTGGTTGTTAAGAGGATGGTTAGAGAGAGGGAAACGCCCAAATTAACAAAATCCAGGCATGAGAGTAACCTAACAAGTTCAGTCGTATCTGCAGTACAGAGACCTAAATCAGATAACTCTTAGAGATTTTTTCTATTTTTTTATTTGAAAAAAACCACCCTCCTTACGCCAATCACCTTCTTCCCAAAAACTGGGAGAGAGAGAGAGGGGGCCTGGCCTAGCCGGGTTGGGATTGAGAAAGATCTTCAGACCTGTCCAGGGCCAAGCCCAAAAAATATACTTTGGCCCAATGGCAGCCCCTCAGCTAAGATGTCATTTTTCACAAGTAATATATACAATATCATTTACTTTCGATACAAAAAGTCACAATTATTATTGACTGTTAGATGTGAAATGATATAATGTTGGATGTGAAATTAGATGGTTTAAGATAGTGCGGCAAAAAATCCAAAATTAATTTTGACAATTTAATTTATTGGATGACTAAAAATGACTTTCCACCTCCTAGTACTAAAAAAAAGTGGTACAATCCCATTTCCGCATCTGAAATATTTTAAACTGATAAACTTTCGATATCACAGAAGGCTCGAAATTATTGTAAAATGTAGTAAGCTGGTTGCTCATTGTCTTGAATCCCAACAATGAGCATGAAAGAATGCAAATAGAGTAGGACACCCCTTTACCTTATCAAGCTGTCAAATCATTCAATCATATTTCTATATGGTAGTGTTCTGATCGGGGCCGTCCAGGTTATCATTAATCAAAAAATTGAAAATTCCAAAGAAGTCGCAAATTAGTAAACAAATTTATCATTAAAAAAGAAAAAGAATAACTTACTCAAATAACATACTCAAACAAGGAGGGGTACCTGGGAGCGTGCACGGGGCCGGAGAGAGAGAGAGAGAGAGAGAGATGCAAGGAGCATAGATAAAACAGGAATATTGCATTTCACAAAGAAAACCTTTGAAACATTACAATTAATCCGGCCAACACAATTGAATCTGTACAAACCTCTCAATCTCCAGTCAGGTACCATGGACCTTAAACCTTGCAGCTGAAAATGCAGTTTTATGTCTTTGGCTTCTGGTCAAAATGCTCTCCCCATTCCCTTGGTCACATAACATTATAGCCATCCTATTGCTATCATAGAGATAAATTTATAGTATAAGGACAGCACAAATTAAGGGCCTAAGGCGCCAAAAAAACTTGGATCTGAATTTCTGAGAAGACTTAATAACAAATTAAGGACATATAGTACATTCGACACCAGGGATGGAAACGAGCATGAGTTACAGGACTAAAATCAAAGAATCACTCATTGATACTTGGGGCTGAGACTGATTGATACTCCTAAGTTTAGAAAGGATACAGTTAGTGTCGAGCACGATGATACCTTTGGCTGGAACCTCCGTTAATCACTAGAGGGGGCCAGGGACTGGCAGGCACAAAAGGTGCATCTCTCTCTCTCTCTCTCTCTCTCTCTCTCATTATCTTGCCTGCAAAATTCCAATTCCCCAGCATTCTCCTAGAAACTAGAGACCCAACGAGCCGGCTGCTGCTTTCCCATACTTTTCCAATAAATAACAGGAGAGCAGCTGCTTCACCATGCATCTCTCCTTTTGACTCTGTACACAATAAATTAGCCTGCGCCCCCTGCAACCTCTGCAGCTCTCTGTCTCATCATTTCCATTACTGCAGCTCTTCGTCGAGAATCAGATTGCTGCTGCAACCTTCTAAGGTGCTCCTTCAAATCCCTGTAAGTCCACCACAAAAGGTACTCTTTTGTCAATGCCAAAAAATAACTCAAAATACACATTCCTTCTGTTGACAAAAATTCCTCAAATAGCCTCTCTCCCTCTCTCTCTCTCTCTCTCTCTCTCTCTCTCACACACTACTTACTTACTTA